AGAGCAGGTAATTAATAAGTCACAGGTAATAACGCCGAGATATATGCCTCGGCAAGGCGTTTCTTTCATTTAATTTGATGAATAAGCAGGTAACATTTCGGAAAATAGCTTATTGGTGGAATGAACTGGTGGAAAATAATGACGATGAATTGTTCTCGTACCGCAGACAAACAGGAACTGGCACCAAAACAAACTAACATCGCTGCCGGACGTAATATAAACAGTTATAGGTGTAATATTAACTCTAGTGTCACACTGACTCTGCTCGCCGCAGACACCGCAGACAAACGCAAGTGATGTCAACAATTTCCTTCCCATGACGTACTGCAGACAGTGTTTGCTATGTCGACGTCTATAAGGGTGTTATTAACGAGGCATATTGCTATGTCTTGAGTGACATGAGTAGCCTGAGTGACGTAAGTGAGGTGAGTGACATGAGTAGCGTGTGAGTGAAGTAAGTGACGCGTGGGGTGATATGAGTGACGTGTGAGTGACATGAGTAGCGTGTGAGTGACGTAATTGACGTGTGAGTGACATAAGTAGCGTGTGAGTGACGTAAGTGACGCGTGAGTGATATGAGTGACGTGTAACATGAGTGACGTGTGAGTGACATGAGTAGCGTGTGAGTGACGTAAGTGACGCGTTAGTGATATGAGTGACGTGTGAGTGACGTAAGTGACGTGTGAGTGACGTTAGTAGCGTGTGAGTGGCGTAAGTGAAGTGTGAGTGACGTGAATGACGTAAGTGACGTGTGAGTGACGAGAGTGACGTAAATGACGTGTGAGTTACGTGAGTGACGAGTGACATGCCTGTGTTATGACCCTTTATGGTATCTGTTACTACTACCACTACTACTACTACTACTACTACTACCATTACTACTACTACTACTACTACTACTACTACTACTACTACTACCATTACTATACTACTACTACTACTACCATTACTACTACTACTACTACTACTACTACTACTACTACTACTAATATTACTACCACTATTTATCAACACTTGATAAAGGTCTATATAGAGAAATGTTATTACCATCAAATTTTTTTTTCCGAAACATATATCAATTGAGCATCAATATTGTGTTGAGTGCGTCAGTGTGATCCATCAATATTGTGTTGAGTGCGTCAGTGTGATCCATCAATATTGTGTTGAGTGCGTCAGTGTGATCCATCAATATTGTGTTGAGTGCGTCAGTGTGATCCATCAATATTGTGTTGAGTGCATCAGTGTGATCCATCAATATTGTGTTGAGTGCGTCAGTGTGATCCATCAATATTGTGTTGAGTGCGTCAGTGTGATCCATCAATATTGTCTTGAGTGCATCAGTGTGATCCATCAATATTGTGTTGAGTGCATCAGTGTGATCCATCAATATTGTGTTGAGTGCGTCAGTGTGATCCATCAATATTGTGTTGAGTGCATCAGTGTGATCCATCAATATTGTGTTGAGTGCGTCAGTGTGATTCATCAATATTGTGTTGAGTGCGTCAGTGTGATCCGTCAATATTGTGTTGAGTGCGTCAGTGTGATCCGTCAATATTGTGTTGAGTGCGTCAGTGTGATCCATCAATATTGTGTTGAGTGCGTCAGTGTGATCCATCAATATTGTGTTGAGTGCGTCAGTGTGATCCATCAATATTGTGTTGAGTGCGTCAGTGTGATCCGTCAATATTGTGTTGAGTGCGTCAGTGTGATCCGTCAATATTGTGTTGAGTGCGTCAGTGTGATCCGTCTGCTGCTTCTCGGTAACTTTCTGAGAATTGTGTACTTTATGATTATGTGTTCTCTCTCTCTCTCTCTCTCTCTCTCTCTCTCTCTCTCTCTCTCTCTCTCTCTCTCTCCTCTCTCTTCTCTCTCTCTCTCTCCCCTCTCTCTCTCTCTCTCTCTCATTCCTACCTGCGTTACTGTCTCGTTATCAGGAGCCTCAAATTGACTTCAAACGCCGTAATTGCTTTGATGTGTGTGTGTGTGCGTTTTTGTGTGTGTGTGTATGTGTGTGTGTGTGAGTTGTGTTGTTGTGTGTGTGTGTGTGTGGTGTGTGTGTGTAGTGTGTGTGTGTGTGTTTTCACCAGTTTGTGAGAATCGAGTATGAGCGTTGATCCCTGTCATATTCACTGTCATATTCACTGGTGTGCTCTATCAGTTAGCATACCTGTTCCTAAAACTGAGTACTAAATCGATGCTACCCAACATCCATTGTGCTCATTTCTTTTAACTTCTCCTTGTTTTCACGTCGGTCTGTTACTGTATCTTGTACGTCGTGGTCATGTCTTCCTATTACATCCTGCTTAAGTACATACACACATACACCCAAATACACACACCACACAACACACACACACCACACACACACACACACACACACACACACACACACACACACACACACACATTTGCTGACCTAAAATGAACTTCCTTACTTTCAGTGACCTTGGAACCTGTACTGACTGGGGAAGGAGCTAAGGAGTACCTCAGTCACGCTGTTTCGCCCACGCTGGTTCGAGCCCTAACAGAACTCTGCAAGGTAACGATCTTCTTAAGGGGGAGCACTAAACTCCCACTAATCATTCCACTTTAAGTCGTGGTGGAGGCTCGATCCTCCGTCACCATGTGGATCCTCCAGATGCCGGTGAAGGACTCTTGATCCAGGTCATAACGGTTACCCTTCGGATCAAACCTGGTTGGATCCCCCCCCCCATTCCGCAGCCGGAAGGGGGGGGGGTGCTTCTCTATGAATTTAATAATAATAATAATAATAATAATAATAATAATAATAATAAAATATTATTTAATAACAGTAATGTCAATAATAAAAGTGTAATAATAATATTAAAAATAAAATACAAACAGTAATAATAAAAATAATAATATTATTATTACGATTATTATTATTATTATTTGATTATTATTAAAATTAATATTTAATAATAATAATAAAATAAAATAATAACAGTAATAATAATAATAATAATAATAATAATAATAATAATAATAATAATAATAAATAATAATCATCACAGACAACCCGCGAATCATCATCTTGTCTCTGACATGTTTACAGGTTCGACCGGAAGACCCAATTGTGTGGTTGGCTGACTGGCTGTTAGTTAACAACCCCAACAAACCGAACACAGACATGTAAGCCACAGCCACGCAAGTCTACCCTCCATAAGCAACCGAAAACGAGAAAAGCGCTGGAAAAAGGGAAGAAAACGGCGAGTGTGAGAGAAAATGGGAAGAACAGGCAACAGAAAATGAGAAGATGGCTGGAAAATGGGAAGAAATGGATAGTGTGAGGGAAGATGGGAAGAATATGCGATAGAAAATGAGATGGCTGGAAAATGGGAAGAAAACAGTGAGATAAAATGGGACGAATACACAAGAGAAAATGAGAAGAGTGGTTGAATAAACGAAGAACATGGCAATAGTGAGAGGACATGAGACGAATACACAATAGTAAACGTAAGGATCACTGAAAAATGAGAAGAAAACGGCGAGTGTGAGAGAAAATGGGAAGCGAGATGGCAACAGCTAGCATTGTAGAAAACGTTGTGTAACAGAATATATAACACTGATACTGGATAAAATCACGTTTAAAAATAAGTATTAATAAACATTGAAAAGAATTAATAATAGTAACTGCAAAATAAAACCACTGATTAGAAAACGGAAAGTGTGTTCTTGTACAGACACACAAGTATAATAGAAAACGGGAAGCATAACAAAAAACGTGTCTTTGCTATAGAAAACAGTTATCATGAAAGAAAACAGAAAATGTGCTCTTGCTATAGAAAACGGTTATCATGATAGAAAACGGAAAATATGTTCTCACTGATGTGAAAAGTATAATAGAAAGTGAGAAATATAATAGAAAATGGGAAGTATAACAAAAAACGTGTCCTCACTATAGAAAACGATCAAGATAGAAATCACATTTCGGGAAATAAACGAAATGTGTTTTTCCTGAAAAAAAGGAAAAAAAAAGAGAGAAAAAATCAGTAAAATGGGCAAAAATTATAGAAAACGTGAAATGTGGAGCCTAGAGGCCCGTCCAGACGTCTGCAACTACGGAAATAATTGAAAAAAATATTTCACCAGATTACCTTTTATGGATTCATAGCTTTCCATGATCAATAATAATAATAATAATGGTAATACTGATAATAATAATGATGATAATGATAATATTTTTTATTATTAACACATCGGCCATCTGTCATCAAGGCGGAGTGGCCCGATAAAGAGAAACTTTCGCCATCATTCACTCCATCACTGTCTTGCCAGAGACAAACCTACACTATAGTTATAAAACTGCAACAATAACACCCTTCCTTCAGAGTGCAGACACTGTACTTCATATCTCCAGGACTCAAGTCCGGCCTGCCGGTTTCCCTTGAATCCCTTCATAAATGTTACCTTGCTTACACTCCAACAGCACGTCAAGTTCTAAAAACCATTTGTCTCCATTTGCTCCTGTCTAACACGCTCACGCAAGTTTGCTGGAAATCCAACCCCTCGCACACGAAACCTCCTTTACCCCCCCTTTCCTAGGTCGACCCCTACCCACCTTCCCTCCCTTCTAGATTTATACACTCTTGAAGTCATTCTAATCCCTCACCTCCTCCTAATTTCCAAACAACGAATTCTCTGCATTATATTCACACCACACATTGCCCTCAGACACGACATCTCCACTGCCTCCAGCCTTCTCCTCGTTGCAACATTCATCACCCATGCTTCACACCCATATAAGAGCGTTGGTATAACTATACTCTCATACATTCCCCTCTTTGCTTCCATGGACAAAGTTCTTTCTCTCCACAGACTCCTCAGTGAACAACTCACCGTTTTCCCCTCATCAATTCTGTGATTCACCTCATCTTTCATAGACCCATCTGCTGACACTCCCACTCCTAAATATCTGAATACATTCACCTCCTCCATACTCTCTCCCTCCAACCTGATATCCAATCTTTCATTACCTATTTTTTATGTTATCCTCATCACCTTACTCTTTCCTATATTCAATTTTAATTTTCTTCTTTTACATACCCTACCAAACTCATCAACCAACCTCTGCAACTTCTCTTCAGAATGATGATGATAATAATAATAATAATAATAATAATAATAATAATAATAATAATAATAATAATAATAATAATTTCCATTATCATTCTCTCTGGTAACGCCATAAAAGATTTTTTATTTTATTTTTTCTCTCTACAAATTTGACCAATACGTTGATGTATACACTCATGGAAGTTCATTATACAATAGATACAATATATATACAACGTAATATTTTTTCTCGAGTCGTAACGAACGATTATTAGCGAATTGAAGAATGGAGGGAGACTCGAACCGTGGTAGTGGTGGCAGGAGTCTCAGCGCTGGGCCTGCGGCATGCCAGGAGACCACGAGTTCGAGTCCTCCTCCTCCATCCTTTTGATTATTCATCACATCTAACTGAACAATGAAGAATTTCTGGACCAATTTTCTTTTTTTAATATTGAATTTTCAGTATAGATTTAATAATTCACATTTTTTCCTTTCAATTTTTAATGCATTTTTTTTTTGTCTTCCAGTTTTTACCGCATTTTGTGTTTGTATATCAGTCTTTCAATTTCTGTATTTGTTTTTTGTATGTCTTATTCATCATTTCCTCCACTGGAAAACCACATTGCAAAAAATTTATCGAAATACTCAAGGACACAAAACAAGAACAGAAACAAGGAAATAATTCTGAACTGAACGTCCAGTCTATTTGCAACTGACTGACATTACGTTCGACTAAGCAACATATAATACAACTTATCCTCAGTGTGGCTTAATACAGCAGGTGTATAACTTATGCAACAGATGTATAACGTATACAACAGGTGTACAGATAACAGGTATGTAGCCAGTACGGCAGTGTACAGCAAATTCAACAAGTGTATAGTAAATACACTAGGTATACACCTAATACATTAGTGTACAGCTAATACAACAGGTGTAGAACTAATGCACAAGGTGTATTGCTAATACAACACGTGAATAGATAATACAGCGAGTGTAAGATAACAGATGTATTGATAATTAATCAGGTGTATTGATAATACAATAGATGTATAGATAACACAACAGTTATACAGGTCATAAATCATTTGTATTCATAATAAATCAGGTGTATTGATAATACAATAGATGTATAGATAACACAACAGTAATACAGGTAACAAATCACTTCTATTGATAATAAATCAGGTGTATTGATAATACAATAGATGTATAGATAATACAACAGATGTTCGTATGTAGGATTGTGTGACTGTGAGTATAGGAGCAGTGAGTGTATAGACGAGGTGTGAGAAAGTATACACATGTATGGAAGGTATTTGGTATGCTGGATGGAGATGGTACTTCAGAGTGTTCAGATAATTTGATTCTCTCTCTCTCTCTCTCTCTCTCTCTCTCTCTCTCTCTCTCTCTCTCTCTCTCTCTCTCTCTCTCTCTCTCTCTCTCTCTCTCTCTCTCTCTCGCTCTCTCTCTCTCTCTTTAAAGCCAGTTTCGAAATTGAATGTTGAGAGGAAGAATGACTGTAGTGATTTCAGCTCCTTATAGAGTTTTAACATAAAGTTTAATTAACATTTAAATAGCATAGTATACGTAATAGCATATATATATATATATATATATATATATATATATATATATATATATATATATATATATAATATATATATATATATATATATATATATATATATATGTCGTGCCGAATATGTAAAACTGGTCAATTAGCAAGAACTCGTTTAAAATTAAGTCCTTTCTGAAATTTTCTCTTATACGTTTAAGGATATATTTTTTTTCGTTAATGTTAATGTAAAAATTTTTAATATTGCACCAAACGAATATTAGAAAACTTACCTAACCTTATTATAACTTTAGCAATTTATTTTATCCTAACCCAACTAAATATATTTTAAATACGTTTACAATAATTTAGTAATAAACAAACACAATCAAATATATTTTTTTCGTTAGGTTCAGAATGATTTTGGCGAAATTATTGCATACACAAATTTTCACTTGTCCTATATGGCAAGATGAACGTTGCTATTTAAGCCAAGATCGCAAGTTCTGCCTATTCGGCACGACATAATATATATATATATATATATATATATATATATATATATATATATATATATTATATATATATAATATATATATATATATATATATAAGGTCATGTTTTCGTCGTAAACATTAGGATTATCTACTTAAACCTATACAATAAGGGTAATTATATTAGAGTAATTGCTACAATAATCGCACTTGCGTCTAACACTTGGTATTAAGTTCCTGCCTCGCTGACCTGACCTTCTTGAAGGGTCAGCCATTATATCTAAAATTCCTTTTCAGTCCGTCCTTTAGTAAAAATAAATATATTGAAAGTAAGATAAAAAAAAATAAAGCTCGGTGTGAGAGATGCAAATTAAATATATATATGAATTTAAGGACGTATGTCTCCTAAATAGTATTATGCATTTTGAAAAATTGTCTAGAAATGTACAATCCCCCTTTTTTTTTAAAAGGGGATTTCTTTTTGTTATTGTTGTTGTTGCCTCATTTTCGCTACCCGAGTTTCAAGGCTTCAGAAATGTTCCAGTAATGTTCTACAGTTGTAAACATCGATATATATAAATCGAGTGCCAAGTTTTTTTCTGAGTTTTTTTACACACATACCCCCCAAAAAATTAGGTCTGGATGGTTAATATGGGTTTAAAGCCTAAAGAATAGTTTACTCCCTAAAATAGGGATTAAACTCCCTGAAATAGGGATTAAACTCCCTAAAATAGGGATTAAACTCTCAGTATGTGTACGCTGAGAGAAATGCTCCTCTCAGTGTACACATTCTTTTATTATGTATAAGTTGTACATAGTAATAACCGCGTGTCACTGAATTAACAGGAAGGAGACTCGAACCTTGGTCCTGACAGATAGCAGGATCGAGTTCCCCTCCTTTTTGGGGTATGAAAATACACATGCTACGAAAGCTTCTGGCCCTGTACTCACCTGTGACTGCAGGATCGAGTCTTAGCTCCTGACCCCGCAAGGTAGGTCACAGATGGTGGGCCATTGATACTGTCATACCCCAGCTCAGCGGAACACAGCTGAACATTCTAATAGACAGAACCACGGTTCGTGTCTCCTCTCCATTCCTGAGTACACATTTTTTTTGTGTTTATAATGGGCTATGGGAGGTGATTTACAATATGCAAAAGGAGGGTAATTAAAAATGCAAAAGCTTCCCTTAATAATCCAGCAGGTCAGGCCGGTGAGCATTTAGGCCAAAAACGAAAAAAAAAATCGCTGGGATAGTTGTGACTGTTGACGTAGTCGATCGAAAAGTCTCACTGCTTATAACAGGGGAGGAGAGAAACGTTGTAAACCAGCTTTGGTTATGATGTTTGTGTCTGTGAAGTTATATTCAGACATTCGTCATCTGATAAAGCTCTACATAGAGTGAAACATGACTTGCTAAAGCTCTACCCAGAGCGAGTGTCGGGTTATGACTTAATAAAGCTCTACACAGAGTGAAACATGACTTGATAAAGGTTTACCCAGAGCGAGTGTCAAGTTATGACTTAATAAATAAGTAAGTTTATTCAGGTATACACAAATACAGTTACATAGATTATCATACATAGCAGCATGTGTGTAGAGAACCTGGGATAACCCAAAAAAGTCAGTCAGAGTGACTTATTTCCATTGGGGTCCTTTTACCTTATTATTATAATATAAAGTTTATAATATTTTCTTATTATTCTATAATGAAGATAACATCTTATTATCATACTAAAAAGACTATCTACTACACGAGGGTCATTAAGACTATCTACAATACGAGGGTCATTACTAGGAATAAGGTAAAATTTACACGTATGTTAGATAAAAAATAGAAAATCATTCCCCTCCCTTTCTGTAGCTACATTCATCAGACACCTTTTGGCACTCTTCTTGAACTGGTTCATGCTATGACTGGCTTTGACATGTGCGGGCAGTCTGTTCCATTCCTTTATTGCTGTACAATAAAAGGTGTTTGAAGCCTGCCACTGACTGTGGGTACTACAAAGTTGTGCTCTCTCCCCCTAGTACTATGATTGCTTTGGTTCCCAACCTTGACAAAATTGACAGCAAGATATTCTGGACATTGTTTGTGAGCAATTTTATAAACATGATTTAGCTTCAGTTGTTTTACTCTGTCTTCAACATTCAGCATATCCAACTGCTGTAATTCATCCTGGCCTACATGTTCTCTTGGTCCCAGCCCCAGGATGAATCTTACGATTTTGTTCTGGGTGATTTGCAGTCTATCTTTCAGTGTTTTTGTCAAGGCAGAGTACCAAGAAGAGCAAGCGTAATCCATATGGCATTGTATAAGGGCTAGACATAGGGTCCTGCGAGCCTCAGTAGGTAGACTTAGTGCTTGTCTATACAGGAACTTCAGTCTGGCATTCGCTTTCTTTACTACACTGTTCCCTATCAATTCTCCTGACATGCATGGGTCAAAGGGGATTCCCAGATATTTTACTGATGAAACCAAAGTGATGGGCTCCCCATTACATTGAACATTAAAATTATTTACCCTTCTCAGTTTATGCTGTACATAGAGTGAAACATGACTTGATAAAGCTCTACCCAGAAGGAAACGTCGTCCCAATGAAAGCTTATGCCGCAACCTGCCCATAATGGGTCCATAGGCCTACTAAAGTAGGCCTATGGACCCATGCAAGGCAGATGCTAATTAATACCTTGTGTGTGCGCGTCTGTGTGTGTGTGTGTATTCACCTATTTGTGGTTGCTGGGATCGATTCACAGCTCCTGGCCCCGTCCCTTCGCTGGTCGCTACTAGGCCGACACACTCTCTCTCCCGGCTTCAAGAGTTTTATCGTACCTCTTCTTGAAGCGTTGTATGGAACCTGCCTCTACCACT